AGAGAGAGAGAGAGAGAGAGAGAGAGATAGAGATAGAGATAGAGAGAGATAGAGAGAGATATATATATAGTTCTGGGACCTATGAATGGGGAGACAAAAATAAATGAAGAAAAATGAGGGATTAATCGAAAAGCAAGAAGCCCTTCTCAGCAAGAGGTACCAGAAAATCGTTAAAAAATGCCGCAGAAAAAACCCTCAGATTTCCGTTAGAGCTGTCGCTATGGAGACAATGAAAGCAGTCAGACCGAGAAACGAAAAAAACAAAAAAACACACGAGAGAAAAGGCGTTAAAGGTGGTATTAAGCAGTGCGAGGTGTGGATGTTGTGAAATAAGAATTCTTTGGGTAGAACGAGAGGAAAATAGACAGAGAGGGTAAGAAGTAAGAGTAAGAGGAAAAAATATAGCAAAAGACGACAAGATGGTATGAGTGCGCGCGTGCTTGAGTGTGTGTAAGTGTGTGTGTGTGGGGGGGGGTGTGAGTGAGACAGGCAGAGAGAGAGAGAGAGAGAGAGAGAGAGAGAAAGAGAGAGAGAGAGAGAGAGAGAGAGAGAGAGAGAGAGAGAGAGGGGTGGGTGGGTGGAGGGGAGGAGGTGTTTTGACTCGTAACAATTGTTCCAGTAAGGTAATTGTCAGATTAGTGAGGTTAAAATAATCTTCATAATACTTTTTAAAAGCTTTTTTTTTTTTACATGGGCTCTGCTGTATAACTTACGCTGTGAAGAGGTCAGTTTTCGAATTGTTCAGGGTCATGGTGATTTAAATGGCAAAAAACTAAAAAATCAGGAGAATTCGAACTAACACTCAAATGAGGTGAATATATGGAAACATGTGCTAATAGTCTATGACTCTCTGTGTGTACACCTTGAATACCTGTCTTGAAGATATCGAACGCCGACTTCCAAAATGCCAATTTTAAAAGTTTTGAATTTTCAACCTTATTTTCCATAAGCGGGGCAGATAGTTTGCACAGTACCATATCCGTACGCCCTGTGGCCATTTTATACCCTCGGGCTGTATTCTTCACCGTTTAGAAAACTTCTAGTACAAAGATCTCTTTGAAACTTTCAGTATTTCAAAAAAAAAATCATTTTGCCAGACTGCTATGCAAAGCGTACGGAGCGGATTAACTAGTAAATTTACTCTTTGGAAAGTGGTGGCACAGAGTTCCCCACGTTGTATGGATACGATAGTAAAACACGACGTACCGATAGGGTTAACAATACCTTTCTTGGCACAGGAGGCTGATTATACGCACGGGATCTTTGGAATCCCTTCCGCTAATGAATATTACGAAGTTGAAGTTATTTCTAGAAGACTCGGCAGCCGATTGTTGAGCGAACCGCTTTCTACGACCAAAGGGAAATTCTAAACGTGGAAGAACGAAGATTCAGGTGGGTTTAGTGGATGAGGGTAAGTGAAGAGAGAGGGAGAGAGAGAGAGAGAGAGAGAGAGAGAGAGAGAGAGAGAGAGAGAGAGAGAGA